CCACTCCTCAAGAACTCCCAAGAAAAATAAGTTACCTCAACACCTCATAGACCTAATCCATACCAAACGCCGCGCCAGATTATTATGGCAACGTACTAGACACCCCATCGATCGTCGCTCCTATAATTTTTACAGTAAACAATTAAAGCAGGAATTGGCCACCTTCAAATCCCAATCCTTCAACTCCTACCTTACTTCCCTCTCTGTTCATGAAAATTCCCTATGGAAGATCACCAACAAAATCCTAAAATCCCATCATATTTCCCATCCCCTCCGTCGAAGCGATGGCTCCTGGGCAGCGTCTGATGAAGATAAAGCTGAGGAATTCGCCAGACACCTCTCCAGAACATTTACCTCTCATCCGGAATCCAACCTCACCCATACCACAACAGAAGAAGAATTCCTTACATCACCCATTCCACTTTCCTTGCCACCTAAAGCAGTTAATCCTTCTGAGGTCAAACATCACTTACAAAAACTTCCTCTCCGTAAATCTCCTGGATACGACCTCCTTACCTCTCAAATCCTTCGAAAACTTCCTCCTAAAGCTGTTATATTTCTCACCTACTTATATAATGCCATCATAAGAACCACCCACTTTCCTCTCTTGTGGAAAGATTCCACTATTATCCTGTTTCCGAAACCAGGCAAACCTCCCAACACCTCAACGTCCTACAGACCAATTAGCCTACTTCCGATTCTCTCAAAAATCTTCGAAAAGATCCTCCTGAAACGAATCCTACCCTTTATAGAATCCCAAAATTTTCCTTCACATCAGTTCGGATTCCGTTCACAACACTCCACAGTCTAACAAGGACTCCGAGTGGTCGATCATATTTCCGCAGCATTGGAAAGCAAGCAATATTGCTCGGGTGCATTTCTGGACATAGCTCAAGCTTTCGACCGGGTATGGCACATCGGGCTTCTTTCCAAGCTGAAAACCTATCTTCCTCAGTCCTTGTACCTTGTCCTCCGTTCCTACCTCTCAGATCGTACCTTCCGAGTTCGCTGCGGTAGTGAATTATCGAATTGCTACCCAATTGAGGCAGGTGTTCCTCAAGGTAGGGTATTGGGTCCCGTCCTTTACATCCTCTTTACCGCCGATATCCCTGTCCATCCCGATACCTTCCTGGCAACTTTTGCTGATGACACCGCCATTCTATCATCCGACTCAGATCCTGATATAGCATCCTTAAACCTTCAAAGACACCTCTCCCTGATTGAGCACTGGTGTAATAAATGGCGAATTAAAGTAAACGAATCCAAATGCCAACACATCACTTTCACGCTCCGACGCAGTTCCTGTCCACCAGTACACTTTAATTCCATTCAGCTTCCTTTCCTACACAGTCCGGTACCTTGGCTTTCTCTCAGACAGACGACTAACGTGGAACCCTCATACTAGACTTAAAAGACAGGAACTAAACCGACGATACGGACAAATTTACCGGCTACTAAACAGAAAATCAAAACTTTCCATTGAAAACAAGTTACTGATCTACAAGACAATACTGAAACCTATCTGGACTTACGGACTTGAACTGTGGGGAACAGCAAAATTTACTAACATCAAACGCATCCGATCTTTCCAATCAAAAGTCCTTCGACCAATAGTCAATGCTCCTTTCTATGTAACCAACAAAACCCTACACCATGACCTTAATATCCCATTTGTCCTAGACCTTATCCCAGCAAAATTCTCCAAATTCCACCAGAACCTTACCCATCATCCAAATCCCTTTGTAAAATCTCTATCCAGCACCACCCATCCATATAATCCTCCAAGGAGGTTAAAACGGCTGTGGCCCCGCGATCTTTTATAGTTTGTAAATATTGGAGTTCTGGCAATGGCCAGATTCTCCACTCACGACATGAGTGTATGTGGCTAAAGCACTCTTGCTCAATATCTACTGGGTTTAGCCCTAGTGACGCGGTTGAGAGAGGAGTGCAGGGAACTCCTGGAGTCATACTTTTCCCTCCTCAATTGGAGGGAAAAGTCTGGTTTGGAGGTCTCTCGCCACGTTGTAAATATTGTATATAGGTGTGCATGTGTTCTTTTTTTTATTTATTTTTAGGTTATTTTATTTTTATTTATTGTATATATATTATTTTTTTGTATAATTTATTTTATTTACTGTACATAGAGTGTGAATGTCATCTGTGAACACTATTATTAATGCCCCTGAGACAGATTGTAATATATTTCAATAAATAAGAATGCCTATCATTGTGGTTTCTATAGTTTTCTTGAGATCGCTGTGTTGCATATCTTACTATTAACAGTTTTGCTAAGAGGAAGTTGAACATTTATCTTTTATTATATTTGTCGATATCTTTATAGTTAAATAAATAATTTATGACTTTTTTTGAGGTATGTATGTCCATTACTGTTACCGACTATCGTTCTCCTGGAACAATTGAAGTTCGGGATGTCAATCACTAATCCAAAAAAGTGTTTTTTTAAATGGTAATTATACTTGCATAACTGAATATTTTTTTCCCATTTTAAAGTCTTAAATAAAAAAAGAAGAGCATAGAGATTCTAAATGTCCAAGGGAGAAGTTTATAATTATAATAATTACGGCGGTATAAGCCAAAGAATACACAAACTTCCCTAGCTATGTCTATCACTGGTGCGCTTACCCTACTAACAGAAGAAATATAAGAATTATCTAATTTCTCATTTAGGTTAACTAACGTTTTATTAGGAACTTAAGTACATATAAGTTATATTTCTACAATAAATCTAGCACTGTATTACAAAAAGTAACCAACTACTTCTATTTTGATAATTTGAATCCAAAAAATTTTCACAGAAAATTTTAGAACTGAGCCCCCCCTTCTCACCCTCCCTTAGGTTCGCCGCTGTCAATACGTTACTATTAATCAGAATCTTATTAAAACCAGAATCAACAGTCATAGATTGGATGAACTCATCTCGCGACTGCACCAACATGTACTATCATAGAATAAAAGGCTATTACATACTCTTTCTTTTTTTTTTAAATGTTTTATTATGAACAGAGGGAAAATAAAAAAAAGCTGCAGATAATATCTGGAAAAGAAATCGATACCGCAGCAGGATCCAGGGGGCATTGCCCAACTGATAGGGTGTTTAATATTCCGAGGGTCATGGTGCCTTATCTCTTGCAGGTCCATCGTATCTTGTGACCTCATGGCAAGCCTCATTTTAAGTTAGGTCCAACTGTTTCCAACCTCTTTGGAGATGAAAAGAGGGAATCTTTAAGTAAAATACCAACAGTGGGAGTAAAATGTTATTCCATTAATATAATTTACTTCCAACATAATCTCTCTACAACATACAATATTCGAACGGATGACCCAGAAGATTAACGCGTGAAAGAAACACGCGTTTTCCAGCTACCTGATAATCTGTGGATTACAAGTTCGACTCCCATGGCTTTTAACGCTGCTAGTGATCCCCCGCGGTCTTCTCTGGTCCGGAATAAACTCCGTATAGCCGAAAAAGCGAGATTGGAGAAGGAAAAAAATGAATTTATTTCACAAAAAATAGTAATAACAATCAGTGAATTAAATGATAAGAATATGAGATACAATGCCATGAGAAGCATGAGAGGGAACAGTGGCAGCTCCTTCTGATGTGACATTGTTGACATTCATATGTGCTTTTGTAATTGTCCTGAATGTTTTTGCTTGAAAGATTTTAAGTTTATGAGTCTTTTTAGTTTTTCCATATATCTGCCATACCTAGGTTCAAGTAAGTTAGACTAAATAATTTTATGATTTTTTTTCTTTTTATAAGTAGGATTGTTTGCTTATAACATCAATATAACTATTTTTTCTGTATTTTCTAAAAGTTGCCAATGGTTAGTTTTATTTTTCTTTATCTGTTTTATTCAATATATATATATATATATATATATATATATATATATATATATATATATATATATATCGGCCTACGGCCCGAAGTAATCTTTATCATTGATGTCATGTCACATGTATCATCTTCATCATCTTTATCTAATAAGGACATGTCAGTCCTTAGAATATTATATTCTTACAGTATGGTTGGTTTTCGAAGTTTTTCAGTTTTTTATATGGCATATTAATATATTTTTTCGATATGTTTCAAACAAGAAATATCTCCAAGAAAAAATTAAAAGTATTTCTCGATTGAGTAGGTGCTCACAGATATTGAATTGAATCGAATATTTTATAAATAATATTTTTTTCTTTAATGTGAAGTTGAATGTCTCGGAGTAATATTTTAAATAAAAAATTTTTGTACGTTTGCAAACGATTATGTTAATTGCTTGATGACGGAAATTCAATAAAAAAGACTTAATTTCGTGTTGTATTTATAAATTGATTGACATATATTGTGTTGATCTGATAAATACAATAAAGATGCAGTTCAAACCAGTATACCTAAATAAGCAGTGCAATAATGTATTGTAGATGATTTCGAATCACCCTTCATTGCGATAACAATATTAATATAATAATGTAATAATAATTAAACCCAATTTTATTTATAGTTTACATCACACAGTTAAATTATATACACAAATAAAGTTGCGTACACATAAATTAAATGAACGATTAAACAGAGCAGGACTCTCTGAATTCAGTCCTTGCCTAAACCAAACGTCGTTCGCAAACCATGCTGAAGACCTGTAAAGTGGATCGAGACTTCGGATTACAGTGAATATTTTTTATTTGTCTATTAACTATTTTAGATTATTTTCTTAACCACAAACCGAACCATCTCCTTACTCATTGATTTCGTTTATTTTAACAGAAGAAATCAATTTCGCTCATATGTGATTTATCAGAAGTCTAGTAGTAATAAGACTACTACCAAAGGAGCAGAGCTAATTTCTGAAGGTCTATCAAATTACAAAAAAAAATATGTATTTAACATTTTTCGAGCAAACAAACAGGAAAATGTCCGCAGCTTATTAATGCCTACGCACACAATACTTATTATAAATAGCTCTCCTCAACACAAACAACTTGAAGATCGCATGAGCAATAGGTACAGGGAATACTTCGGTGAGTATGCTTACCAATTTCGGAATTAATTAATTTCAGTGTTAAATAAAACTTAAATAGAATTATGTACCTGGGTGATCGGAAAATTAGCCAATATACCCTAGTGTTCAAGCAATCAGTGTTTCACTACAAAGGCCAGAATTTCATTTCGGGAAATTATTTGTTGCATTTAATGATAAATTTTTGATATTTTTTCTTGACAAGCGCTTACATTTAGTTGCTGAAGCATAATAAAGTAATAATTAGTTGGCTTATTTATTAATAGATTAATTGCAGATATGAAAAAGGAATGGGATATTGTTATTATTAATAAAGCGAAAGCTGAAGATTTAAATCAGAACTTTAAAAAAATGTATTTCACCCAAAATTGGTCTACACGTTTAATAAGCACGATTATAAAAGTAAGAGGGGAATCAATTCTATCAAATCACAGAATAGATAGAAACGGCAGCCATATTTGTTGTTTTTGTAACTTAAACCAAACAGAAAATGTTTACCACTTTATTGCAGTATGCCCAGTTCTGAGAGAATTTCGAATAAAATACTTCGGAAGGAATACTTTAACCCGCAATGAGTTCCTTGATATGACAAATGGGGAGGATCTGAATGCAATATACATGTTTACCAACTTATAACTAATACATCCGTGATAAAAGAATTTAATTATTGAACATTATTATGATAATCTGTCAAATGTGCAAAATATGTTCGTGTATGGACATTTATATATGCGTGTGAGTATATATCTATGTGTGTGTGTATATGTTTATGATATTGGCGTTGCCGAAATTTATATGCAGTAATTGTGTCTTAATAATATCCAGTGCTTTTATTTTTTTTTTTTTTTTGTTTTGTTTTATATTTTCGCAAATATGTACTGAACTGTTTTCACTAGCTTAGGTTCCAGTTAAGATTAGTTTCACCTAATTCCAAGCAGATGGACGATGACCACGGTCATGTATAGTACTTTTATAATCAAGATTAAAAATTAATTAAGCTGGGTTATAATTAAAACCCAGAAAATGTATTTGTTCAAACATTTATCAAAGAAACAACTTTGAAACAAAAATTATTTTTAATTCGGTAATCTACCAGCGACCTCCAGACACGTAACTGTCCAGTAAAAGTAAAGAGACATATTGTCAGCAATAGTTAGATGAATTTTATATATATTACGAATAAATGAAAATCTGTTGTATATATATATGTATGTTTGTTCAAATATTTATCTGCACCTTTTGATGAACTGTTGACAATTATCACATGATTTGATGAAAGTAATAAAACTGACATGACAGATATGGAGAATGATAGCACCCAGAAAAAAATAATCTCATTATCTTCACTTTATTTATTAATCAATAAAAACATATTTATTTCATAGGAATACATTTATTGAGCAATAGATATATTTCATTTCTCCTTTATGATTAAGGAATGTTTCCTAATTTTAGAAAATATTGCTCATTTTGAAATAACGCACTTACGATAACGCACGAAACGATAATGGATCACAGATCTTTCAGTAGAATCTGCGTATTGTCAATGAAAACTGAAGGACAGATTTCATGTCGAAGTTTAAACGTAACGGGATGTAATTTGTTATAAATTAGTCGGATTTTGCAAAGTTTAAACCAGTCAAGTAATTTTGTTAAAGCTTTATCTCATGATCACTAGTAGCATACTTTTTTCTACGGCAATACTTTTTCTTATCTTGTTCCATTCCATAATCCCATTGAATCATTCATATGCATGTCAGTCCTTAGAATAGTACATTCTTACAGTATGGTTGGTTTTCGAAGTTTTTCATTATTTTATATATTTTTATATTTTTTCGATATGTTTCAAACAAGAAATATCTCCAAGAAAAAAATGAAAGTATTTCTCGATTGAATAGATGCTCACAGAGTTATATTGAATCGAATATTTTATAAGCAATATTTTTTTTCTTTAACGTGAAGTTGAAGGTCTCGGAGTAATATTTTAAATAACAATTTTTGTACGTTTGCAAACGATTATGTCAATTGCTTGTAGCACTTAAGTTTCGTTTTATATTATCTTATTGAATTTCTTCGATACTTCGCTTCATCATTTCATTAACTGATGCGTAGGTTTTGAAAACACTCTCAGTCTAAAGACTACAGTGTGAATGTAGTCTTACCACACTATAACATTATATAACTCAATAAATAAACAATTAATTAATTCAGCAGATTAAAAAAATAATATATATACGTATATGTAATGACCGAGCGAGAACGTATATATACGTAATATAATAGACCCTTTGAGGGAAGAAGCGCGAAAGAGAGGGAAAAAAAATACAATAAATTAATAAACAATGTCGTTACCTGAAAATCTATATTATTGAAAAAATTCGTATGAGTTAAAAGATATAAAGATAAGCTAGTGGTTAATGTTAAAATCGGTGGCATTTTCATAAAAAACTTTGATAGTTCAAGAATGAACGGAAATATTAAAGAAATCTGATATGTAAAAATAGTCGCTACGCCAACACCTTAATCATACAATTATTTATAATTATAATTATTTATTTATGTCCCCATTCTGAATATATTAGTTGGGTGTATAGGTCATACATAAATGCAACTCATCATTTTTAATTACATTAAAAAAATGTACGTTAAAATATTTGTAATTACTGTAAAAAAATGTTTTGAACTATATTAGTCTCATCCAAGATATTGTGCAGTAGTGATAATTTAGTGTAGTATAGTAACGGTACTATGATAGGAATGAAAAATATCTATAATAATAAAATAATCTTTATGTAAGTATTAAGTCCTAAAATTGGTTGATTATTATGCTGTGTTTGAAGCAATCATGTGTAGGAGCGTAGTGCTATTTTGAATGAAGTATTTCTCTCTCTATTATGTATATTGTTTTGTTTATGTCGTAATATTTCAGTAGCCACACTGAATAAGTTGTTTGTTTGCAAATTTTATTATTTCTGAAAAAAAAGTCAAAAAAGTTGAGTTTGGTTAGTTATGTCGTTTCTGTGATTTCGAATTGCAATATATTTTCCCCATTTTTATCTCGGGCAATAAAAAATAAAATAATCTGTAAACCAAATTTATTAGGAGGACAGATTTTATTGTTTCAAATAACTATTTCATGATTTCAAAATAGTTCTGTTATTTTATAATTTTCACGATCAATTACTTTAAAAACTATTTTTTTTTTCATATAATTAACATTGAGTTTAAACAAAGTACTTCCACTATTATTATTTTATATGCTAATATTTATTATGTATTAATTTATTACTGTTGTTATTAATTTAAGGATTTTTTTTTTAATAGCACTATTCCCTGAAAGACTTTTTCTCAAGATGCACAATCCGACCACACTGTTGCTGGCCTGTTTGATGGTAAGTTGTCATCTTTGTAAGAGCTATAACATTACATTAGAACAGAATCAATTGATTCGAATCCTATTTTCGATATGCCGACATACCTTACTGCCAGGCTTTGAAGTGGGTCTATAGCTGTTGCATGAAGCATCTTGATCGCATTTTTATGCGAAAACTGACATTATTCAGAGAATCAGATAAATTATGCGATCGAAGTACCGCTTTATTTATTTAATTAAATACATGCACATGTCATAAAATACTTGATCAGGATAATCGAATTTCCTAAAAATATTTTGTCTTCCATTGTCACTAATAATAAGAAATGGCTAAAATATGCTATAAAAGATCATGGTAATTAACAAAACGAAAAGTATTTATGTAGATTAGAAACAAATTTCCAAAAAGATGAGCAGAATAATATTATTTATAAGGTTTCGTTTAAAACCTAATATTTCTTGTAAATTATATCTACAAATAAAACCGTAAAAGGTAAGAAAATGGTATTTTAAAGCTTGACTAACCAAAAATATATAATGTACAAAACTGTTGTTTTAAAATTGTTTAAAAACTATTTTATTGTGCTAATGTAAGAGAATACCTGAAGATGTGCATGGTGTTGAAAATACTTCAAACAGTATTTATGGGTTAGAAAAACATATGTTAAGAACAATTTTATTTTATTTTCCTTCCTACCCTGATTTTAAGGCAGTACAGGAGTTTGCAGCAGTGACTTGATACACATTGCATAACAAATCACTGTCGCAAGTTTATCTTTTTACATTTTTAAATTGCTGTGCACACAGCCTGCTTGATAATTTTGTCTCTTAGTTTATGGTCCTCCATCTTCTTCTCCTGTCCTCATCAGCGGCCTTCCAGGTACTGTTAATAACAGTTTGCTATGTCTAGGTCCTTATAGCCGTTTATACTGTGTTTAAGCATATTTATCTCTCTATTATATAAAAAGGTTTTAGTGAATTTAATATTTTATTTTATTTTGGTATTAAGGGAGTAGGTGATTACAGGAGCTAAAAATAAAATAAATATAGCCCAAAATAAAGATTTCAGACCAATAATTTGCACGGAAAATGGTATTAATCTCGACGTGGTGGTTTGATTTTATTTCGGTGACAGCAGTTATTTTTCCACATAGACAATATATGGAATACAATATATTAATTATTGTATCATATGTTTAATATTAATTATTATGAAATAAATATAACGTACAATAAAAATAATAGAAATAAAAAGGCTCAAATTGATGTTGGACTTATATGAAGTTGGGAAAGTTGAATATATATTATGATTGAAAATTAATTATAAAAATAATTATAATTATATAATAATATAATTGGCAATAAGGCGCGATGTATAATATTGATTTTTTAGAAATCTTTTTTTTTTATTCATTGCTATTTACAACTGTATTATAAAAAAAAATACAACTAGTAAATGTGCACACAGTAATAATACAGTCATATGAAAACCCTTGTTGAGAAACTACCCATTGGTAGCACTCGAATTTTAGGAAATTAAAAATTTGTCCGAATTATGGTTTCGTTCAGTTTATTTTATGTTTTTATATTAGCTTGCGTAAAAATAATACAATCTGAACTACAGAATTCATGTAAATTACAGTTATACAATTTGAGCAACGCGTAGGACAATTAAATGAACAGTTGTATAATTTGTAAAATGGAGGTTGGTCCGTCGTTAGGCGAATAGGGTACCTTGTATTAAATAAAATCAAGGACGCCTTGAATAATAAAAACATTCAAATTTAATTATTTTACTTGAACACACTACCTCTTTCAAATAGATTTTCATCTCCAAAGATAATACGGGAGGTCAGTTTACTAATTGTAAGTTAATTATATATTTACCACGCCTAGTAATATGATACATTACTACACCTAGTAAAGTATCATATTACAATCACCATATTGATGTAGTGTTGTAAAAAAGCTCGGTGAGAAGACTAAGAGTTCGCCAGTAAAAGATTCGAGTCGTGACTCAAACCTTACTTGTTTTTCATCATATGTTTATTAATGAACTTTTTAAATTGTTTTAAAATTTATACAATAGAGTAAACTGTTCTACATAATGTTTGTTAGTAGTATCATATCTTTGGCGGTTCCTTGAATCATAGTTTTAACTGAAACAAAGTCTATTGTTTATGTTGATCGTTCTTTTCTATGCAGTTATATAACAGTATAAACGTCGGTTTATTGAATAAAAAAACTAATTACTTTTTTAATGGTGCTGAACGTTTAAGAATGTTTTGTGAATTTCAATCTTATTTATTGATAATAAAAAATCTTTTATACGTCATAGTTACAAGAGAGTAAATTCATGATTTTACAAGGGGTAAAAAAATATCAAAGTGTTTAGCGTTTTAAAGTTATGTAATTTCTCCTAATGACTACAATAAGTCGACGATAGTTTTTATTGTATGAATAAAACATGCTGTCAGATGTGGGTTCCTTATAAACTGTAAGTAGTGTTGTAAAAGAGCTCGGATAGATGGCTATAAGACCCGAGCCTTAAGAGTCATTAGAGATTTGAGCCTGACTTGTTTTTTTTTTAAATTGTTTTAAAATGTATATAAAAGGGTAATATCTACCCAAACATATTGCCATTATAGCTTTTTAAAAAAAATCTGAGGGAGGGGTTACCCCTCTCCCAACCCCTCCCCCCTCCCCCCCAAAAAAAAAAGTTAAAAAAAGTATCACCCACCTACCCGAACATATTGCCAACATATCAGCCAAAAAAAAAATTCGGAGGGGTATGGTTAACTTCTCCCACAAAAATAAAAAAAAATTAAAGCAGAAAATTATCACCCAAATACCCAAACATATTGCCATTTTATCTTTGAAAAAAAATTCAGAAGGGGGTTGATCTCCTACCTCCCAAAAAAAGTTAAACATAGTATTACTCATCTACTATAACTATATCATATTGTCAAGAGGGGCACCGAAAATTTGGTACCGCCCAGAGCTTCTCAGGATCTGTATATATAGTATAAAACCCACGTTGGAAGAGCTCAATATAGGCCCTTACGCGTGCTTATTATATTGACAGTGTTTCATTAATATTGAAGGAGCTTCAATAAAAATTAAAAAAAAATATATCAACTAGTTTGATTGACGTCATTATAATGTATGCCAATTTAAACCTTACTCGGTCAATATATTGACGAAACTCGAAATTGAGTTAATAATATTGACCGTGTAAGGAGCCCTTAAGGTTTAAGCCGTAAAGGCTCTAGCTTTCTGGACTTGGCCAAGGCTAGATTCTTAAGAGCTCGGTAGTAAAAGGCTTGCCACATGAGCGTCTGTTGCTATAGTGCCCTCCATCAGTTTCCACTGGTTTTAAATAACAGTGTCGCGGCTGAGAGAGAAGCACTGGGATCTCCTGGAGTCCTGCCTTGGCTTCCACGTCGGGGAATAAGGCATGACTCAGAGTCCCCTGGGTGAATGTAAATATTGTACATAGGTGTGAATGTGATTTATTTACTTTAATTTCATCTAGCTTTTATCTATTATTTCATTATTTTTTTTGTACACAGGCATACCAATTTACTTATTTTATTTATTTATTTTTTTTATATTTCTTTTTCTTTATTATTATTAATTGTATGTACATATTGTTTGAATGAATCATGTAGCCTTAATATTAATGCCCTTCAATGTGGCAGAATGTATTAATATTCAATAAAGAAAAAAAGAAAAAAAAAAAGTAAAAGGCTTGAATCGTGGATAGAATCTTACTTCTTTTTTCCTAACTATTTATTTATATTATATTTCAGAAGTATATTCCCATTGTTAATAACAACAGAATAATAATATGTTCACTTTATATTTCGGAAGTACATAATACAACTCGAGCTTTGGATTTTAGAGGTTTAAAGGCTCTATAGCCGAGTCTTTACGACTCGAGTCGGAGCTCGAGGCTGTCTTTTACAACACTATATTGATGATCGAAATGATTAGAATAAAACAAAACTGTACTTAATATGCAAAGAAAAAAATATGAATAGTTGGCACATAATATACCATCTTAATTTCATGACTATTTCTAAATTCTAATTACTGATTACTAACAAAAATTGTTGAACGACTTATTTTGTGAATGGTTGGTAGGATTTGGGGAAAAGTGGAGGTATGTTCTTGATTTCCTTTCCCTGTGTGTCTCCCAGTGTTTACTAGATCTTTGTGTATTGGTTCCGAATATCCTTTCTCCATTTCACAACCTTCTATCTATCGGGAACTCTTTGTAGGCTATACAAACAGAAAAGTACTTATTCGCTTCTCACTGAATATTAACTTACTACTACCAGGACAGAAAGTCAAAACATAGCACTGATAATAATTTTCTCTAATTTAATGGCTTTTGATCCGATAGTACAATAGGTACCTAGTCCTGTCATAAATATTGTTAAAAGGAAATATGTACAGATTGCAACAGAAAAATTAATTTTTTCAAAAACTTTATTAGAAAATGAAATGTATATCTAAAGAGAGTAAAACAAAAAAGAAATTATTCCAAATGTCTCCCTCTTGCCTTGACACAGGTATTTAATCTCCGTGGCAAGTCACTTCTTGAGGAAAGCGCTCAACTACTCGGACCAGAGATTGTTTGAGGTTTTCCAAGTTAGGGTGTGCTCTGTTCCATATCATCCTCTCCAGTTTGGATAATCTAGAGGTTGACATCACGGCTTCCTGAGGGCCATTCCGAAGCAAAGATGAACTATGAAATGTTCTATTACAGCCACTGCTGAGTTGATCGGGCCTTGTAAGTTGGAGCGGAATGCTGCTGGAAAATCCAATGACTTCTAGCAAACAGAGTATTATTTAGAGGCTTGATAACATGTTTCGAAATATCGTCCTGATAGTTTATAGCGGCAGTTTTAACTCCTTTTCCACAAAAATAGAGCTTCTTGATGCTATCAAAGCAAACTCCCCACCAAACCATCACCTCTTAGCACTCTTCCAATGATTTCCTGGGCTTCTTTAGTGCTGTGTGCGTACACAAGATCATTTCGTCTATTAAATTTCTCTTAAATTGTAAAAAGTTTTTCATCGCTAAACAAAATTTTTGGATGAAGACTATTGGTCTAACGGCTAAGGAGCACTTTACATCTATTCAATCTAACTTACTTTAGGAAAGTGGTTATCCTTTGTCCTGTCATTCTTCGAAATGCACCCATCCTAAGGCCACTATTTACTATACGAGACTTTGATCTGACAGAGATTTTTATGATACTTTCAAGTATGATTTTAAGTGAAAGTTATGTTATGCCTATGCCGCATCGGGCTCTTTATTTATAAGAATTAATTTTTCAAAAATGATTTTGGTAAATTAATAAAAGTAATGTAATGTAAAAATAAGATTTTTCATAATTGTTTCTTCAATGGCGTCGTGAAGTGAATTAAACACTGTTGCTACCTTATTTTATGAAATCGACTTAAATAGTTATGATCACGTAAAAGTTGTACAACTAATTAAAGGTATTTCTGGTCTAGGATTAATCTAACTTCTTGTCCAGTACCGTTCTAACTACTTTTCTAACATGTAAATAATCAACAACATTCAGTCAACTTAGGTATTTCACTGCTTATTTGTCTTTGTAATTTTGATTCACATTACAGTATTTATTAATTAGGAGATGAAATACCATTGCTCATAGAATTACGTCTTCTTATTTTCTTGTTGTTATGTTTGCCTTCTATTTCTTATTGTTGAAACGTATATCTTATCTTTACTTAGTCAGATAAGTAAACGTACATGAACTAGTCAGATGGATGGCAGGAACAAAATCAATCCAAGTTGGCGGAATGAGATACAGAAATACTAAGTGACACCTGTTGCTGGCTCGATATTAACGTTTCTCTTGTTAGTCAAGTGTGCCTCACGTCCTCCTCATATGGCATATGTGGGTGTTGTCTGGAATGTGGGTTGCGGCCATCTTGTATGTCAGTTAGCATATCCTGGGTCCGTATATAGTTGACACTTGGATTTTGAAAAGTCTTAAATTATATTCCTCTTAGAGTGGATAGCGTTTCCTTGTTATTAATACATTCATGATAAATTCATGAAGTAAAATATAACATACAGTTTTGTAAAAGAGTTATCTGTGTAAATATAAATAATGTTTTTACTTTATTTTTTTATACTAAAATACCAAAAATTTTAAGTCCTCAAAATACAATAAATGTATTCCTTTTAGTATTGTAGATAGGACGTTTACATAAGAATTCTCCTCTGTTTGAATTGAGCTTAAAATTCTTTAAGGTCAAGTATATTAAACAATTTAGTTTAGGCATAAAATTGGTTAGCCTTATAAAAACTATTAAGGATTCCAGTACCTTGTCATAGTGTTTTGTGGAAGCAAGTATGCGTTTTGTTATTTTACTGCCGAATTATAGTGAAGTAACAACTTTAATTCCACGTTGTAATGTAGGTTTTGGTATTGGTATTTGTATTTAACATTTCTTGCTAAAATATAAGAGAAAATAAAGGAATATGATTCCTTAATGATCTCTCTTACTGCCCCAAAAATGAAATAGTTAAAGCGATAAGTCGCTATGTGCAGATATACCCAATCTACAAGTTAATTTTATAATAATTTATATAGTAGTTAATTTATTTATTGATGTAAACACAATAGTTACCTCTCCGCTACATATTCTGTTCATAGTTTTCAAAATTTTCTTTATTTTTTTAAAAATATATTTATCTCAATATTCAATTTTCCCAACAAGGAATGTTATTTTAAATTCTTTTTTAAATTAAAAACTCGGATTTTTGTTTATTAACATTATTTTCTTACTCATTTCTTTAAATATATTTACATTAAGTCTGGTTTTCTCTCTGTTATTATTTTAATATTATTTATCTTTTCATCTAGTTTGAAAAATATCTTATTTTTCCCAGTTGCAAATTGCATTTATTTTGTTAAAACATATAATTTTCCATATAGTTTTTTGCTGCTCTCTCATCTTTCATCTCTTGGGATCTTCATGAATCTTCTTTTATTTGTTTGTAGAAATTTCCTCAGAATCTTTTTCCCTCCTCTTACATATCGTCCTCCTCAAGTCCGATTTGATCCTGCCTTAGAATCCTCCATTTTTATCTACGTTCCTTTATACAATAATGTTATAATAACCGGCAACTTCAACACCAATTTATGCTCTGACTTTTCTGACAAATCATACCTTGACGACCTAATCCGCTCCCTTGACCTTTTCATCGTTCCCTTTCAGCCCAGTTCTCGAGTACATGGCTCGATCTTTATCTAATTGATTTCTCTCAAAACTTATTATCGTCCTCCCAGAATCCTGTTTCCTTTCACACCATGATCTCATCAAGATTTCCTATAACGTCCCGACTCCTAAATTCTTTCCTAAGCAAATAATCACTGAAAAACTAAATCCTTTTCTTGAAACATTAGCTCAATCCTTAGATCCAATCTTCTGCTATTCCTGAATCAACGTGCACCACTAAAGACCTCCACAAAGACGTGCTAAGGTACAATTCTTTCATATCTCATTATTATAACCACCAGATCCTAAATTAAGATCGAAGATGTTTAATCTATCCCAATCTATCCCTATTAAAATCAAAAACCTGTACCTCCTACCCGGTTTTTCCCGATCAACTGAATTCCTAATTTGGAATTCTACTTCTCAATATCATTCTCCACCTCACTCTGTCTTCCTAAAACTTCCTTTGACCCTATAGATTTTTATTTCACAAATATCTCACCAGAAGACCTCCTTTCCTCCGTCCTCAAATCCAGAACCAATGACTATGGTCGGGATCTAATCCCAGTGAAATTAGTCAAACTATGCCTCTCTGTCATCTTTCATCTGTCATCTTTGTCATCTGTCTCGTCAGCTTGGAAAAAAGTTATAGTTCGCCCAGTGAGCAAAGTTACGTCCCTGCAAAATTTTCGATTTCAGATCCATCTCCATTCTCTCCAATCTCGAAAGACTAGTCCATTCACAGCTTAATACCTTCCTTGAGCAAAAAGCTATCCTCAATCCCCTCCAGTCTGGTTTCTGATCCCAGTTTTCCACCCAATCTGCTTTGTTGAAAATCATCCAAGACCTTCATCTCTCCATAGACAAACAAAGGTTAGATTATTAGGTTATGTTAGCTAAAATATTTCTTATTATTTTATAATGCTAGACAATTTTCATCTTTTTGTTCATTTTAATTATTCTAAGGGGCTAAATATCCCAGAATATAATTTATTTTTCTTTCTTCTTCTTTCTTTCTATACTTCTAACGTTCATTCAAAAAGACTAATATAATTCAATTTGGCAGTTCCAGGCTGGACAGTGTTTTCTGGAAAAACAAGAAGCAATCTTTAAAGGAGCTCTTGGAATCCTGAAGTCTTCGGAGGATGTCGAGGAAAGGACAAAGGCGGTGGGACAACTCACATCTGTCTTCGACACGATGAAAGATGAGATTAATTACCTGAGAGAAGAGAACGCCGAACTGAAGGATAATGAGCTGGATAATTTTGGAAGCGAATATGGCTCGGTAAAGTTTAAGAGCGTTCTCATCCAGTCTAATAAATAGGGAAAAAAGACCAATAGGCCCATTTGCTGTACTAAGTCCCCAGACCAATACCGGAGTCAAGCCGGTGCTGCGTTCCTTTACGTGGCCCGGCAATTTCCTATATAATGAGCCCTCCCTCAATGTGCGTAATATCAGACCGGAACACTCATGTACTCAATCTAGTATGATTTTAATTGGTGTTGGCCTCCTCCTCATGCAGGTTTCACCAGTTTAATCGGTGAAGTAGAACTGTCCACCAATTCCGAATTCCGAACAGAATGCTCGATTCTTTTTCAGAACCATATATCCATTGAAGCTCCAGGCGGGATCTTTTTCGGGTTCCATTGACGTCTTTATTAAAATATTTTAAGGTATGTTATGTTTTATAGTAGAATGTTATCTGACTAGACCTCATCTCGCTTACACAACTTGCCCAGCGTAACTTACTGAACTTGACGAATATCTAAATTTCAGGTTTGTAATACAAGAAGTATACCTCCCTATTTGTGCGTGATTTCTCTTCCAAATCTTTGAAAATACTTTTCATCGAACATCTAGAAGGTAAAGTTTCTGATCCATAAACACTGGGATGAGGTTTGTCTTAATACAATGTTGTTTTGGATAATGAACTACTTAACACATCCCAGCTCAGGCCGAAATGGCACCCATTGACTAATGATACCCGCCTCCTTAATTCAATCGAAACATAAGGAGGTGTCTAATCCGATAATTTCCGTACCATATCGTGTGAAAGATCGAATGTCTGACCCGTCGCAGTCGGATTCACCGGACAATTTGACGAACGGTACGAAGCTCATTTAATTTGTAAATAATAATGGTAATCGTATATTTAATGGTATCGTATTTAAACTATATGCTTCGTAATTTTCTTGCATAGAATATATCTTCAATAATTCATCTTCTTTGTTTTTATTTATATTTAATAAACACATATAAATAATCACATGATTGCTTTAAATTCATATCTGTTTTCGTTGTAATTTTTATTGTTTTACTTTACAGTAAAGAAACACATAATATACAAATGTCACATCAATATCTAAAAAAAAAGACTAATTAAATTGAAACAATTTAAAATTGCATTAATGTAAACATTTTCACTCTAAAATTATGGTAAAAATTCCACTATCTTGTGATTCATACAAACAAATATCTTTGGCAGTCAAAATAGGCAGTAGATAATATTTCTTATTTTATTTCAAAGTCCCAAATCTATCAGTAAAAAATAATTCTATATCACCTATCTTTAGATTTGTCGATCTTACTCCAGCTCCCTCAACCAAAAGAAATACACTTATTTAACTTTTCCATATATTGTAGAATAAAATTCCGATATTATTTTACCATATTAGAATTTATATCAGATTTTGACCCCTTCACTTCATAAACACAACGATCTGAACTGGTTTGAATGAATTAAATCTGCCCCAGTCATTTCTTGAGTTTTAGATCTTCAAAGTTGTCCTCATCACTTCTTATCTTTCGCCATTTTTTTCTCATTTTCAGATTTTAGGTCCTGTTTCCTGAAATATTGGCTATTGATAAGTAGTTTATCATACTTTATTACCCTCTTATTTTTTATCTACTCTGAAACGAAAATGTTCGATTCTAATTTGTGTGTTTTTTTGGGCAATCTCTGTTTCGTATAAATCTCCGCGAGCTGTTTATTGAATCTCAGAGATTTTCTCATTTTAATGTCTACAAATATCTACCTAAGATTAATGCAGATATCTTTCTGTGTTTAATGTAAAGATTGATTTATTTATTTATTGATTTATGTTTCGACTATTATATAATATATATTTTCTAAGAATATTAATGTTCAGTCAAGAAATAAAAAACTTTACTTTGGCGACGGTTATGGTTTATATATAAACATTATAAACACCGCCAAAATATAGTTGTTTACTTATTAACTGAACTTCAAAACCTATAGTAACGAATCTCTAGTTATCCTCACTAATATACATATACACATCGATCTCAATAAATTCATTTATTGTGAAGTTTTATCGCAATATTGATCATTACAAATAAAACAAACTCATGGATTTGTAGTTAACTATTTAATATATCAAAAGAATTTATATCTTATTACAAACAGGTAATGATAAAAACAAAATTGTTTCAGAAGAATGGAACCGGTCAGAGAAGAAACCTTTATCCGTGGGACCCAGCCAACACCAATAACAATCAATGGTAATACCCATACTGTTAAATTATTAGACTGAAAAAATTTCTTTGAATCAATAGAATGTTAAAATTGGTGTGTCGATTAATCTAAAAATGATTTTCACCTTTGTAGAAATAAATAAACATAACTTTTAAGGTAAATCTAAAATTGAAAAACAAGCAATGAATCGGCAAACCATTGTAGTTTGAATTGAAGATAATTGGAGGTAATATTCCCTTTTTTACTTTTTCCACCTCTACTAGGAAAGTAATATATTTCGTTCGGGTGAAATTTACTATGTGCGGTTTTACACGAATTTTTACTTTCCACAGCCCCCTGCGTCCGAAAAATACATTTTCAGCCATTGGTCTGTCTTTCTGTGCCAAGATTATTTCGGGAACCAGACCGATTTTGTTGCTTCTTTTATCAATTTGTAGGCTTTTGACTCCCAGCGCAATAAGTGGAAAATATACTTCTCAGTTATAAAGAAAATAAAAATGTGTTGGGGCATAACTCGTTAATTATATGTTCTATAATAAAGTTATTTTAATTTTGTATTTAAGATTACGAACTCGAATTCTGGTGCCAGAAAGGACTAAAAGAGAGAGCAAAAGGGAAAAGCAAATGAAACTAAAACATTCTGGTTTCCGCGCCACACAATTTTTTCTTTCCCCTCTACGTTTGCAGTTAAGTTATTCCAAATTTTATCAGTTCATCCCATAAGTAATAGCGGTGTTTAATTGGGTTATATGAGAGATAGGATAAAACCAATGAAACACGTTTAATATAAAATGTATTTTTCATATTTTTCTCTTGCAATTTGCCATCTTGAAACAAAATTTGTATACCTTTTCTAAAAAAATCAGTTGTTTTTGAATTATAGAAAGCCAACACATCGTTTTTTACTTTATCGACTGAATTCATGTCCATTAACAGAAAAGTATGCAATTCTTTAGTAAACAAAATATGTAAACACAATTCAATTGTAAAGGAGGGATTAGTAATATTAACATAAACAAACAAATTTTTAAAAACCGACGCTACATATGGGGTGACCTGGTACCTCTGAAATTAGCTGAAACCTATTGAATATGTGATTTACACCACTTTAAAGTTAATCCTCTCATATAAATGTATTCTCAATATTAATGGCGTGGGTGGCTGAGTGGGCTAAAGTGTGTAAAACACGCATGGTCCGGCAAACAGATGCTTGATAAATCGAAGTTTATAAGAAATAGGACAATTACGAGTTCGCATCCTGGTGCAGGGTGGGCTTTTAACTCTGGAATTAATTCTCCACCCACTCCCTGGCACGGGAGTACCCCCGTATAGCCTAAATGGCGAGGTAGAGGTATACAAAAAAAATTCCAACATATGTCACTGCTTCAGTCCATTTTTATTCAATAATCGAAAAACAATAGTTGTTTAATTACATAGGGAATTTGACAATAAAAGTTCTGAAAGCAACTTTTAACAAAAACAAATATAATTCGATTGCGATTCAAAACAACACTAATTTCAGCTTAATTTGGCCAATGGAAAATTCTATTTTTAGTTCACAACAAATACGATAACAATGAGCAACTGCCGGATTCAAAATTAGATAATAAAAAAAAAACTAATCAATATATCATAGGTTTACAGCAAAAAGTCACTAACAATAAGTACAATTTAGCTGGAGCTAAACTATGAAGTATATATTTGTAAACTTTGATCTTACTGCGGTATGAAAACTCAACAGGTGTATCAAAATAACAAAAGCTCTTACACGTGTAAACTAAATCTTACAACATGCATATATCACCTTACCTTTTCATGGAAATATTTATTTTATATTCAATAATAGTAAATTCGATATATATTTTTGTTTATAACAATTATTAGTCGCTCTCTATTCTCCTTTACCGGTTTTTATGAATATAATTTTTCTAAAGTTTTTATATACCCGACAGTATTTTATTCATCTATATTACTACTCTTGTTCCCGGATATTTCTTTAGAACCTTGGAAAATATTTCACTCTCCCCCTTTAATTAATTATCAAATTCTTTTACAGATTATATTTATTAATTTTAATTTCTCAGTGTGTAAACTATAAACTCTATGTTCCGACTTACAATAACCAAATACAACACATACCTAACCTTTATTCTCGTTTTCTTAACAAACTTCTGGTACATAAAAACAGACTGATTAACGATATAGCTGCGGCTGACATGCCCATTAGGGGACGAATAAAAAGGAGCTGGGTGAGAGACCTTTCATGAATCAAGGGACTTTCTCAAGATCAAGAAGAGGTATTTCTGGGTATTATCCTTCCCCACTCTTGAGATACCATCACTATAATTTACCCCAACATTTGTTTATTGTCTCTCTGTTCAGAGGCAGATGTTAATGTATAAACTGAGATAGCACAAAATTAAAAAATCAGATAAAAAAAATCTGATGCGGTGTGCGCATCATACAACTATCACTTACCACACTCTTATTTTTTTATTTTATAAAAATGTATTTGCGCCTGCCAACTTATTGTTGACAATCAGCAAATGTGATAGCGATACATGAAATAATGACATGACAGGCATGGGGAAGAAAAGTACTCAGTAGTACCTTCCCTAACTTGTTCCAATTACTTAGGTTGTTTAAGGAAGGAGATCTCTCATCCAATGCCTTTTTAGTCTCTTTCTCATGTTCTGAGGTATTTCAGCTGTGGTCATGTCTCTTATTAGTCTGTTATTATGTCCATTTAAATTTGTGTAAAATCTTTGATAAAAGATCTTTATATGTAGATCAACTGTTGGAAAGTGGAGATCAGTATGTAGAGTTTTGTTAGTCACGTACCAAGGTGCTTTTGTTATGAGTCGCAATAATTTTAATTGGAAAGTTTAAAGTTTGTGTAGGTGGGTCTTTTTAGCGATGCCGTGTATTTGTGAGGAGTACGTCCATATGGAATTAAGTAAATACGCATATGTATTCAGCTTCTGTTTTAGTTTTCTGTTTCAAAAATTCGGCATTTAAGCCCTATCGACATATTAGGATACACCTGTGTGATAATAAAGCCCATTAAATTGTTCATCGAACAAAATCGTTGGAGTTATTTTCAAGAAAAGTGTAAAATCAATTACATGAAGTGACTCGTCTGATAAATAAGACACTCCAGGCATATATTTACCTTAAATAAACAATTTTAGTGATGTATAAAGTAGAATGTTTGAGCTAAGCTGTTTGTAAGCATACATACAGATATAACGTTTATCTAGATATATAGGAAGATTTGGTTATTTAGACTCAGGGAAGCGTAATAAAAAATACAGATATAAGTAATAGTTATTTGTATACCAAATGCACTGAGTTTTGATTTCACAAAGGGAAAATTTATCAAATTATCTAGCGATTTAATTTATGAAAATGTTGCTTAATATTTTTTTTTCAATATTTCTACTGTTATTATTTTTTGGGTTTGGGTATGATTAAATTTCTCTCGAAACTTTAATGAATGAAGACACTTTAATAACTTTAAGTTATACATATTATTATTAAATTATTGATTGATAGTTATTGCTTTAGTTTCAATAATTAAACGCAATCTTTTTGTTTATTATTGTCAATATAGAATCATGTAATCGAGTCAAAAATACAAAAAGTTAAGCCCCTATGAAATCTAAGGTTTTATATTTCACGACATGTATAAACCGAAAATTCAATAAAAAAAAATTTGTTCATCCGCCGTCAGAGGTTTTCTCCGATATTATTGTGTCAATTATTTTTTTAGTTTCGGTATCAAAGGTTACCTGAGGATTAACCTCCTATCTCTACATTAAATTTCGCCTTTTTCTTTCAAAGTAGGGGTCGAAAAACCTGTGTCGCTATAGGCTTTAGCGCCTAAACAAATGTGACGATTTTATCAAAACTTGGCAAAAATATTCTAATATGAGACCTTTGAATATATATATATATATATATATTTCTAAGAGCGTAGAGGAAAATAAATAAACGGTGCTCGGATTTCGATGTATTTTTTTCCATTTTAAGAAATTTAAGAACCTTAAAGTGAATACTTTTTGAGTTATTCGGAAATCTAATTTTTGCATCCCTCATAACTTCCAGTTCTTTTCGGGGAAGCTATAAGAAAAAAGTTATGAGGGATGCAAAAATTAGATTTCCGAATAACTCAAAAAGTATTCACTTTGTTGTGATTTTTATAAATATTTATTACAAAGGCTCTTAAATTTCTTAAAATGGAAAAAAATACATCGAAATCCGAGCACCGTTTATTTATTTTCCTCTACGCTCTTAGAAAAATTTAAAAAATATATGTATAATATATCATTGTGTAATTATTTACAGCGTTTTTACTTTTGCTTATGATGTATTTCGTTTGAAACATATTAGTTAGAAATAAATTTCAGTGGCTATTTCATTTTTTATTATTAATATTTCTTAACAACCGTTTCAGGTCACAAACAGTCACAACTGTAACAAGCGCAACATCCACGACAACAAGGAGGCCCAAGACGACAAAGTAATTATGTTATTTTATTTTATTTTTAAGTGTAAGTTGAACGATCGGAAATCGGAAGCAGTTTGGAATTTATCCTCCTCATTTAATGACCAGAAGAAACCAAACGTCTTCGATAATTATCGTGATCTTTCTATTTTATTTACTTGGGTTTAACGGCTCTTTTAATCTCTATTGCAATAAATCTTAGATTTATATATTAATACTGATATCGACCTAGCCAAATATACCGATCATTGTCGAACATCTAAAAAAAAATAATCATTCAGACAGAAATACTAACATTAAAATAATATAATATTTTTCAGCCATGAGATGATGTACATTCGATTTTATTATTTACGATTTAATTAAAATCTCCATAGATATAAAAACATAACTATATAGGACACAGTAGACTACGATCCACTTATTTGTATTCATAAAAGGGTTAATTATATATTGTAAACATTTAATTATACATTGAAAGTTTAGTCCATAACATATATAATTAAGTGAGTCTAAGGATGGTCAAGACTAATATCAAACAAATAGCAAACAATTATTTATTAAATTCCAATATTTCAATCCACTTTACAGGCCTTCCTTAAGGATTTTAAATAACGCAGGCAACGAAGGTGAATATCGTGAAAGTATACCGAATAAGAGTAATAAAATATATTTTTATTTCCTTGAAGAAGTCCTGCAATGTGGGCTGAAATGTTGACATTCAATAAATTTTTTGTTTTGCCATCAATTCAGTGCTAATCTCGACGGCCATTCGGACAATGTTCTATGTTTTGTTTTTGATTGTATGCTAAAAGGGAATACCGTCGGGTACTGTCCTTCTTAAAGCCAAGGTCAAATATCTTCGATCTTGCACAAATTCAATTATTATTTCTATTTCCTGGTATATATAAATGAGGAGTGGGGTGGCCGAACGGCAATATGACGGAAGATAATCTGATAACATAATAACGAGTTCGAGTCCCCGTGCCGGGAGAGGAAGGTGGCTTTTAACTTTGGCAATAATGGTTCTCGCCTCCTGGCTCGAGAAAATCCCGTATAACCTAAAGAGAGTACAAAAAAAAATAAAAGACAGTAAATGCAAAACTTTATAAAAAAAATATTTCGCATTCGAAATCTCTTTAACAATAAAAACTCGTAATGTGGTTTTGAGAAACTCCTTACTGTGTCTAATTCTAAATTTAGACTAGTAATTTGTTTATTTTCCGCAGGACTCCTGAAATAAAAACTTTGTCTACTAAAGAAAGAGAAATGCACGAGGCAGCAACGAGGGGCTGGGACGTGACGATCGCAGCGCTGTGTGCCGAAGGAGTGAACCCCAACACCGCGGACATCAACAACCAGGGCAACACCCCGCTGCACCTGACCGTGGCGGGGCGCCACCTCCCGGCAGCCATGACCCTCATCAAGTGCGGTGCCAACGTGAACGCCGCCAACACCATCGGCAACACCAGCCTCCACCTCGCCATCGGGCGGAACGACAACTGGATGACCGGTCTCCTCCTCTTAGCGAAGGCCAACCCCTTCATCTCCAACACCTACGGGGCCATACCCTACCAGATGGCCGCCGTTGCGACGGACGCCAGCATTCCCGGGATGATGAACACCACCCTCTTGGCCTGGTTCGCGGGATGGAGGAGCCTCAACGACAGGGAAGTCCTTTCGAGGAACTATATTACCAACGGATACTACGTGGAGCTGTCGAGGATGTGCATCGAGGGCTGGATCGACCCGAACCTCGGAGACGCTAACAACAGACGAAACACGGTAATGCACATCGCGGCGACCTCTCAGTGGAACCACCCAATGGTGGTGCAGGCACTGGTGCGCTGCGGTGCGAACGTGAACATTCCCAACTTGGACGGTAACACGCCATTGCACTTGGCGATCAGCAACGTGAACGCGGCTTCGACACTAGCGCTGCTGCTCCATGGGGCGGACCCTTACATCAGCAACACAGCTGGCCAGACCCCCTACGCGCTCGCCCAGCAGTCCACAAACGCATACATCAAATCTCTCTTCAGCGCTCCGCGATTCCAATGGTACCTCAGCGACCTCCTCCCTTATTAACTCCTTCAAATTTATCTAGTTTGCAAGAATTAGTTTGTAAAATTAAAAAATATTAATATTCCAGTTTGAAAAATCTTGTAAAACAACCTTCATTTTTTAGGGGGGTTTAATCTCTTTTTCTGTTTTCTTTTGTCTTCTCTTTTTCACTCTTGATTTATCCCCTTTAAATTTAACCTGGAGGGTCGTTGGTGGTAACTTATTCCTTTTTTACTTCGTTTCCTTCAGGTGTTGAAGCAGAGATCTCTTCATTACATTGTCTTGCAATATTTCCATTATTGTTATAGATACTTTCAATTTTTGTTTATTAAGTTCAAATTTGTTATTGTTAATAAAAAGTAAATTGATTCATTTTGGAAGGTAGCATTTAGCAAATCCATTTGATCTAACTAGCATCTTTAAATGTTGTTTTTTAAAGGTCTTCTCTTGTTGTTAATCCATATTCTTTCAATAATTTTGAAGATTAGCTTCTCCTTATGGTGCAAAAAATAAACGTATCTTCAAAATTGTTATGAAAAAAACTTTATTTTCTCCAAATTTCCTAAAAAATACCATTGAAAATGGTCCATTTTTAACAAAAGTAAGGCGAATAAACCAATCGACCAAGAAGGACAAAATAAAATTCTAAACATCATAATGCTTAATGCTTTTACTTAATTATTTCCTACTTTCACATTGTAGTGCTACTCACTTTTCACTGGCCAATTGGCTATAATTGCGAATCGAACGCTTGATGGAGCTGATAATCCTGGATCAATGCTTAAGAATACAACAAACTACAAAAATAAAATAAAACTGTATGTGGATGACTTACGTACAATTTTTTATAATTTAGATAAGAGATTAAAATCAATTAACAAGATAATTACAAACTAAATATTCAATAAATCAATAAAATATTCATAACTTTTATCTGTTGGGATGGTTAGATGAGATTTAGTGTAAAACAGATCCCTAGATCAAAAGTTCTAAAGATTCAGGCTGATCTTGAATACAAAACTGAAGATTTAAATTTTCTAAAATCTGTTGGCCTATTTTATGTGGATTTATTTAAAAATCATTGTAATAGGTAACTTTCTTGAAAACTCATAAAAAATACTGAAAAAAACAATGTAAAGTTTTTCCAGGAAACAAAAAAAGACACGTTGAGAACCAGAAAATGATTTCTATCTAAAGAGGCCTTGCCTGGTCCTTTTTCCGAGGATTTACTGAGCTCAAACGCAAGTAGTCAATGAATGGCCCAAAAGGGAGTGTAGAGTGTGTGGGCAAGGACCTAAGCGATTCCTTCAAAAACTTATTCAGGGTGCTTAGGGTGAAGATATCAAATCTCCTGACATCTAGGTGGTGAGCCGGGTTGGGACGAAGACAAGGTTTCATAATTTTTGGGTTTTCGCTTATATCTCAAAAATGGTGTGCCGCAGGGGAAACTTTTCCCGGCGACGTACCGTTTTCGATATATAATCGGAAACCTGAAAATGGTGACCTTTCCTAACCTCTCCCTCTTCCAGTTTTGGTATGTTTACTCACTAAGCACCCTAAACAAGTTTCTAAAGGAATTGCTTACGCCCCTGCTCACGCACTCTATACTTCCTTCCTTGGCTAGACTAAAGCGCACATAATCCTCCTGTAGATATTTTCCCAGAACCTCTTCTTCATCAAGTAAAGTAAGTGAACATGCAGTAACTTATTTCGATTACTAGATTCAATAAGTAACAGAGAACCATATGCCTTGGCAACCAAATCATTCCTGCAAGGTATAAGAAAAGTAAAGTGAAGACATACAAATTTATTAATTAAAAATAATGCAGTATCGATACTTTAAAGTGATTACGCACGTCTGAGCATATTCAATAGGTTGTGAATTCAGTGAGCTTTTTTTTTTTTTTTTTTAAGAAGTTTTCAAAAGCACTCTCGGTAATCCGATCAAAGGGTGGGTTTTAAGCAAGCAGTTCGAATTAGCAAATAGTTACTGATACATGGTCTTTCCAAGAAGCCATTCTCAATTGTATAGTCATAATTAAAGATGAATTTTCATTGTATTATCCCTAGCTACCATCTGAAATGAATCATCCTTGCATGCATATTTTCATCCAGTTCTGTTGTTTTACTGAACCATTCTTCATTTCTTGACTTATTTCTGTAAGAATTGAGAAGGTTATTTTCTGTTTGTCATTCTCAATGTATATTGAAAGAAATATCGAAACTGATGTAAGTTGACTTTATTATTATTTTTTTTTTTTTTATCCACATTGCCCATAAAGATGAATATTGGTGAGAAGAATAAAATACGTTAGTTGTTTGCCACTTTCTGACGATAGATTCATTTCTGGAATCAATGATTCATCCAGAATGAAACATTGAGAGATATTATCACTAAGTAAAAATATGACTTTGACTTGAGTTTTAACAACTCTATCAGAGCCTCCATTGAGAACGAATCTTCGGTACTCGGAGATATTTCAAGTACTCTATCAACAAAAGTAGACAGGAGCCATCTTTCTTTAAATCAAACGAAAACATTTGCCGACTTACACATCAATTTATTTTCCTCCAGTGCTGTGGTTTCACTGAACTGTTCATTATTTTGATTCTTAGCATTTTGTTAGAAATGTCTTTTACAGGAAGGCAGAAAAGAATTAAACGCGCGGATAATGGAGAAATTAAATTCATGTGTACTAATTCTGAACTTAACGGAAGTACTGGCCAAGCTAAAACACGGTAGGTGAACCATTGGTTTCAAAGAAGAAAACCGTTGTTGTTTTACCATTGATGTGGTTCAATACAGGAACAATAAAAATACATTTTTCACTCTACCTTCATTGGGGATGAATCATTTGTTCCAAGAACAACTCTGTCATCAGAAGTTAGCAACCGTCAGCATCATTCACCCTTCATCTTGATGGACAACTTAGACTAATCAAAAATGAAAGCCGATCTACATTTTAGTTTCTTCCAAGATGAACATCGAAAGTGATAAATGCAAATGAGCCTTTTACATGACCCACTCAGCTGAAATCGTTTCTAAATACTTATTTATATTTCTTAATCCTATAATAATATAAGAATAAACATATATTCTAGAAATTTACAGAACATTTATTTATTTAATCTTTATTTGTATTGAGGAAAGAGCCTCATACCATTAGAGTCTATCTCTATATTGTGAACATTATTAATCCTTATGTTGTAACACTATATATATTATAAAAATGTTAAGAATATATTACAACTCATATTTCGTAAAGAACAGGCATTTAGAATAATGCCAATTATTAACATAAAATAAAATATTAAATTTTCAACATAAACAATAACAATAAATACATTTAAATTTACAGAGTTCAACAAGCGTTTTCGTGTAATTATATTCTTCTGTACACATTTACTTGATATATTTATACGAACACAGTTGTAAATATCATAAATAAAAACTAAAATTTGCGTAAATAAATAAATTGAGTAAATAAATATATGTCTATGAAAATACTACATCTGTCGAGTATACAAATATACATTAATAATTTTAGAAAACAAATTATGGCTCTGGTTTAAAGAATTCTCATTTTTTTTTTTAATTTATCTTAAAAATGGATATAGATTCTGCTAAACCGGCACACCAGCCCCGTATTATTTTTACAGTATAGCATGGATGTATTGCGGGTTTGGGAATCTGCCACAGCAGGGAATATGATACTAGCTGTTTTGCTTTTATTTTAATATAAAATTGACATAAAAATAAATTATTATTGTATTTTTAATTTTGGTAGAAAGCCATTTTAAGTCCGTATATGGTCATTGTTTTTTTATTACCTTCTATTTTTCCGCCATGTTTATCAACGATAAATAACACTATCCAACAAAAAAAAAATCTTTGCTTCTAGATTGAAAATAACTGATTTTAATTATTATTTAGGTAGAAAAAAAGTTCTGTTTCATTGGTATACGGTTTTTAGTAATTACAAAATGACTATATCCAAAACAAGAAATAATATTATGCTGTAGTAATAAATGAATTTATATCAGTATTGTTTATAAAATATTCACATTATTTAATAAAAGAAAATCAATGGTTGAATTTTTCATATTGTTGATATAATTGTTTATTTACTGTCCTCTGGGCGTTTTCTTTCTGCTTGACGCTTGTCCACATTACCTGGAACTTCCATCTCTTAAAATATGGTGTCAGATATTTTTGTTGGATATTCTACAATCTATTTTTCTACTGAGGGAAAGTGTTGCGATCATGAAAATTTTCGAATCTGAGTTTTCAACGAAAATACACGTTTTTAGGTCGCCTAACGTCCAAATAACCAAGTCCCGTGAAATGGTGTGTGTATGTGCGTGTGTGTGTGTGAATGTGTGTGTGTGTGTGTGTGTGTGTGTGTTGACAATCTAGCTCAAAAACGAAAAGTCGTACGAAACTGATAATACGTATTTAAAATAGGTATATGACTGAGATGTTACAGCAACTTTTTCCTTAAAATCGGCTAACCGGAGGTGCCACATTATATCAACGGTGAAACTCATTTTTATAATTTTCTCAAAAACGGCTCTAACGATTTTGATTAAACTCATGATGTATCATTTATAATTAAGTGGCCTTTAATATCATTTAGGTCTTAGAGCCTTTCGGTTGACAGAATGAACAACTCCAATTTCAAAGTTCTTTATTATTTATTTTAGTGATGATTCTAGTGGCAAAATTGATCGCTTTATTCACAGTCCTATATTTCAACACTGCAATCACCTACTCTGGAACCAATTAACTCACTGTCTGTATACTGATACCAGGCTGTTACTAAAGATAGTCAATCTCAGAAGATAAAGGTCGTTTTTGAGCATATTACGTCACTTCATCACAGGTCCGATCTGGCTCCGTCTGAAGACTTTTTTGGGCCTTTTTTGGAAAACACCGGAGGGGAAAATTTGCCTAAATAAAAAAATATAAAACAATTATTCAGGATGCCAAAGACACCACGGACGATGCTAGAATAACACAAAACTATCTTCGGTGTCTTGGAGGGAGCCCCGGAATCACTGTAGATTTTATGTTGTAGGTTCATCGTAGAGGACCCAACACTTGGGGAAATGAATGAAATTAAAACAATTATTTTAAGGGCCAAACATTGCATGATATAAGACAAATACAGAAAAACGATCTTAAGGGCCCTCAGATGAGGCCCCCAAGCATTCTACAGCGATGAAAAAGTCCATACAAACTTAATTGGAAACAAACTAGCAAATATACGACGGCATTAGATAAATAGGAAACAATGATCTTCGGCGACCTCAGAGGAGCTTCTAATTATTTTTCTGTGAAAAAATTACAAAACAAATATTTTGGGAACCAAACTTACCTTTGTACAAAAAAAATGTACAACATTGATTTTGGAGCCCAATCTGGGACCCCCTGGCTCGAGGAGGGTCGTCGCCAACCTGGCCAGACCGGGTCTGCTTTTCACCGCTTGTATAGCAAATGTTGGTACATTCCTGGAAATTTTGGAATTATCATGGATTTTAATGTGTGCTCAGTCAAGACTTTAATTCAAAAGGCAATAACAGCTGTCCTAGACGGTTTGCTAACTGCACAAAAACAATTGCCAATTAAACTCAAATATTTCTATAAAAATACTTAAATTATATTATATCTTCGAAATATGAACTAACTAAAACTTTTAAAGGTTAAATTATTTGTTGATGAATTATTGAAAGAATCGACTGTTTTATATATCATGGGTGATCAACAATCAGGACGCAGTCCTTTTAGAAAAAAAAAAAAAACATTTTTTATTCATGCCAACGTTTCAACCCAAACATGTGGGTCATCTTTAGGACGTGGTTTGAGCACTGAGGGTGTTCAAGTACTCTTAAACACTTCAATTCAACAACAATTCAAGAGTACTTGAACACCCTCCGTGCTCAAACCACGCAATGAAGATGACCCATATGTTTGGGTTGAAACGTTGGTATAAATAAAAAAATAATTGTTTTTTTAAGAAATGACTGAGTCCTGATTTATTTATCACCCATTATTTTTTTTTTTTTTGTAATCAAACTGGAGTACAAGTTAGCTACTTTTAATTGGGAAGCATGTTTGCTGTCGGCTAGTGTAATCAAATGCTTGTTAACTTTTTGGAACAATAATCTGCATCTTCAGAACCATTCCTTTCTATAATTTGTGAACAATAACATTACAATTTTATTTTATGGTTTCATTGTTTTACAATGTTCCTAGTCTTTACATAATAATAATTAAGATAAGTTACCTCGTCAGTTTAAATGCTGATGATAAATCATTTTTCATGTCATTAATAAATTGGAAGATGATAAATCATATCATATATATATAAGCTAGCAACAAGTGGTATAGATTCAATGTTGACTTCAGACTTCTCCAGTTGTAATGGACTAATTGAGCTAGGCATATTAGTGACAATAACATTCTCATAGATAACAATAACATTAATTGATCTCCGCTAAAAGATACCATATTCGTTGTCTTTTAAACGGAATATTATTATATTAAATGTATTCACCTTATAAAGTAATTAATATTTTTAATTATTTTAAAATGTCTAATTAATGTTACATTAAATTAGTTATTCACTTCAACTATTATTAAATTATGTTATCAATGACTGACAAATTCCAGATATTTGTTGATTTCTCTTGTTATTCTTATATCTTATTATTTCTCTCCCTTCTTTAACAAATGTTTCCTAACTCATTACCTTCAACAATTCTTCATACCCTCACCTATATATTACCTTCGAGATTATCTTATGTATTACATAACTGGATTAAGAAAACTTTGTCATAGGCAAAAGTGAAGAATAGGAAAGGGGACTACGAGAAGAAAGAAGAAAAAATATTGAAAACACTTTTTTTTTAAATGTTTGATTACTTTTATTAGAACTTGTTAATGGTGGTAAAATTATTTCCACTTGAAGTTTTATTTTAAAATAAACACTTTGTCTAATAAGAATGACGCATGAGTAGTTACCCGTTCATTTGTATCAGTATGACCAGATATGTGGAGGCTGCAGAAATCATCTGAAATATGAAAATTTTTACTATTAATATTAATCAATGGGATATTAATATTAATTCTAAATTTAAAGTAGCTGTTTGATTATTAGCTCATCAAACATGAAGCACAAACATAAAATAACTAATAAATTTCTAAAACTGTTAGTTACCCCAAGGGCAGGTTTAGGGGTTTTGAGATAGCTTAGGTTATTGCTTTTATACTAAGATAATACTATTTTGGAATAGGACTGAGGTAATTAAAACCATTCCATTATGATGATAAGATTTCTAATCCATATTTTGAATTTGAACCTGTTCTACTTCATAGAAATTAAAGAAATATCAAATATAAAAAATATGAGGCTCCTGAACACCGTTTCTTTCTGAAAAGCAAATTTTGATCAAACATAGAGCACACCGTTATTGAAATTATTTCGAAAAGAAAAGACACATTTATTATTTTCGCTCACCGAATGAATTAGAGTGTAGTCCAGAGCGAAGACGTTGATAGCCGAAAAGCAAAGCTCTTGCCTCATGGCGATATGAAGAAATAGTTTCTCCTAAAAAAATTCAAAAGGTTAGTGAGCATAATTAAATTTGTTTCAGTCCATTTCATTTACGATGAAGGAGCGTTTAGGTATATTAAATACATGAAAGTTAATAAGCTTCACCCATCTTTTATATTCTTTGTTTCTTCTCTGAGGGCCAGTTTCACTCAAAAATAATCAAATTTATCTGAAGATGGCCGAATAGCCGAAACGTATAAAAAAAAAAAAAATAATAATAATATTGCTTATTCAGTCTTGCAAGAACTTTGCAGTGTGGTTTGAGAGTGGCAAAACTCCTATTATAAAGGCATCCTGATAATTTCAAATTTCCTTTGTTTTCAATGTGGGACATAGTTAACTCATATATTCCAAAAGTTGATATACAAATAAAAATACTAGTTTCAAAGATTTTCAATATTTTGTATAAATAAAAAGCCTATTTTCACCACATTTTGCAACTTGTTAGATACCATTAAATATATTTTGGGTATGTTTGTTTTTTAATCCTGTGGTATTGATAAATACAAAAATCAGCTTCAGTAACCAGCGATTTTAGTAATTATCTGACAAATTCAGTCAGGAAACCTGTACAAAAAATATCCTACCTATAGATAAATACAGTTATACATTATATTTTTTATTGCTTTTCTTCATAGAAAACTAGAAGAAGTATTTTTTTTTTATTTCTTAATGACATTTACAACTGTATTAAATAAATACATCTAGTAAATTTGGATATAATAGATATAATGACATGAATACACTTGCTGAGTAACTACCCAATGGTAGCCCTCTAATGATATGACTACATTAGGAGATCACGGGACCATCTTCTTTTCAGACGCCTCGGGGGGTATTAGGAATTGAAGAGGAAGCAAGGTTAGAAACGAGAGGGATGGGATGATTCTGAAGTTTATTATGGAAGGATAGGTATCTGGATTGGGCCAGATCTGAAACATAAGGAACATTAAGGTCTTTATGGATAATTTTATTAGTGACAAAGTAAGGAGCATCGAGGATTTTACGAAGGATTTTGGATTGTAAGGATTGGATGCGAGAGGAATTCGATGGTTTAGTGGAGCCCCATAGCTCAACTCCGTGAGTCCAAATAGGTCTTATTATAGTCAAGTATATGAGTCTTTTGTAATTAATGGGAAGTTTAGAGCGTTTGTCTAGTAAGTGCTGAAGTAATCGGAAACGTCGAGCAGTTTCTTGTCGTTTCAGTCTAGTATGAGGATTCCAAGTTAGTCGTTTGTCCAGGTGGAGTCCTAGGTATCGGATTTGCTCAACAGGGATAAGTGGAGTATTGTTAAAGGAAACTGTAGGACAGGCAGTCGTTGGTTTGATAATAATTGATAAAGATAATTTGATGGGATTTATTGGAGTTTATTTTAATTCTCCAGTTTTTACATCATTCTTCAAGATTTATGATGTGTGATTGCAGCATTTGGGATGCAATTGATGGGTCATTATTTACTGATAGGATACATGTGTCATCGGCATATGTAGTGATGACAGATTTGGGATAGGTAGGGATGTCAGCTGTATAAACTGTATAGAGGATAGGACCTAGGATACTACCTTGAGGAACACCAGCGGACTGGGAAGAAGTATTTAAACAGATAAACTGAAATAAAATGCTAAGTACAGATTCAAAAGGAGTTTGTGACTCAAAATTGGTATTGGAATATGGATTTCAGTTCACTTCCACTACCATGTATTTTGTTTTATCTTCATTTATTTGTAGGCTGATTTCCTCTGCTTCTTTTATCAATCAATCAATAGTTTTTATTCAATTCTACCTTTGTAATGTTCTCTTGATAATAATAAATGTAATAGATGTTATAATTAATTCGATAAATAACTAGGGGCGCCCATTCCCCCCAACGTCGATGGCGCATGAACCTCCTCCTCTCCCAAGATATTTTAATGATCTTATTTTCTTAAAAATAGTATAATCGAAAGTAGAATTTTAAAAATCATAGCCCATATGCAATTACACATTCAGTGGTCTGTTCTATGCTTTTCTATTGTTCCCTGGTTTGAAACTTTCCATTTTGCAAATTCATAACCCCGTCGAAATGTGCTCTCCTCAAAAATTGAAAACCCCGTTAAAATGTGCCCCCCTTCAAAAATTTTGATAGTGCAACTTGAGCCATAAAATCCACTTCTGGACACCCCAATAAATAACCTCATACAATACAGTTTTATTTTTAGAACTTATTACATATAAAATATATTTTAATTATTGGTAAAAAAATTTAAAATAATAATAACGGTTTTTCTTACCAAAATGGTTTTAGTCTATATCGATCCAGAAGGCCTGATCTGTTTTATTATATTTTGTTTTTCAGATACCTTGCCTGAATTAAAAATTTCCCAGATTTTTTGTCATTTTTATGCCTTTTCTGACCACTGTGACGACCGAGTCCGTTAGAGTATGACCATCTTTAATATTCTCGAGTATAGCAGCTACGTTCGAATTCGGCCACGGCGGGTTGAAATTTATTTTGTGATAGGAATTTGCTGCCATAAAACTTTTTCGGTTGCCTATCACGTTCTCTATTATCTCATTCCAAAATTTCTAATTTTTTAAACCACTCTAACCACAGTGATTCATCAAAAATATGCTCATTGTAAGCTTCAATAAGCACTCAGTGCGATTCTACGTTAGTTTTCTTTAAATGTTTACTGAATGCAAATGCTGTCCGTAAATTGTAGTGTTTAGGCACAGAAATCGGTGTGTGTAACACAATTTAAACGATGCTGTTATGTTGTTTGAATGGACGAATTCCGGTCTTATATTTACACACCTCTATTATTGATTTTAATTTTTTACTCCGAATTATTGAAGGTACGTTATTATCAAACTCTTTATTTTTTATTTCTGGCTGACTTTTATACCTTAAATTGGAACGTTTCTAAAAAAAATCATACGATTTAAAAGAAAAGGATAATAATTTTTTTTCTGATCATAGTGAAGCTAATATTAATGGATAACTAACACATTTTAGACAGTTTTTTTTTTTCGATCAAGAAATTAAATTTTGATATTCTGCCCACAAAAGGCCAGCAGCCTTAAATTATTATAATTGAATAAATAAAGTTAAGAAACAAAGCAGAAAATGGAATTGAACTGTTTTATGTTAATCTATGTAGATAAAGATAATCATGTCTATCACTTATCCAGTTCACGCATATACACAGTTCTTGTGTTGTAGCGATATTATAGTTAATTTTATATGTAAAATTGTGCTCTCATGTTTGAGCTAGAAATAAAAAAATATAAAAACTAAGGTATGTGCATTACAATATACAATAGAAGAGAAAACATTAACAAGGCGAGATTAATAATATAAAACATAAATTATAAATAAGACCTAATTATAAGGAGGATGAAATGCTGAACATTTCCCTCGCTTACAGTATTCAGGTCCGTTTCTTAGTTTCTGAAATATTTTAATTTAACCGTTTTAGATAAATCCCCAAAGACAATTAACAGTAAACAGCACTTAAAATATAATGTCATGTCAAAGCAAAACCAGAAAAATGTTACGCATATTCAGCAGCTGCAATTATTTATAAGAATTTGAAATTTTTTCTTGGAAAATAATCAGATGAAGTAAATCATAAGGTTAAATAGTTTAAGTATGAAACAAAGTTCAACTTACATCATTCACTAGTTCACCCGCAACGTCAGCAATCATCAATCGGTGAAGTAGAATATCGAATTTTCTTGCCTTAAAAACAAATAACAAGGTTTGTACTACAATAAAATAAATATAATATTTAATAAACAACTGCAATCGATATTGAACAGCACAGTAATAAGTAATAATAAGATAAATTTTTACTATCAAAGATACAGAAGTTTTTTGTGGGAGGTTAAAAAATATTTGTGGTCAGAATGGAAAATGTCCACTTGCTTTTTATCCACTTAGAAATAGCAAAATGATTAATGATATATTCAATTTTCACCTTTTTAATTTATAAATGCATATTTAATTGTTACACTATTTTCATAAATCTGAATTGAAAGAAAGTTAAAATTAATTGATTAACGTAAATTACGATAGGCTAATGAATAATAATTATGATTTTACTATTTATAATTAATTCAATGAGCTTTCCAGTTTACAATAAGTATTTTGAAACTAATAAAAAATCAGTTTTACCTCCATTGAAGTACCCTCACAAATTGCACAAGCCATGTAAGCGATGAATATAGATTGTATAAGATTAAACGTCTTAATAGCTACTTCAAGTAATCCAGCATCTGCTTCGATGACAATAAACACTTTGTAAGAAGTGATTATTATGTACAAGAACAATGCACCTGTGATCCAGAGTACCTGTTGGGTGAAGCAGTCATTGAGGGTAATGGAAGCGGTTATGCATTGCTGATGCAGCTCGGTCAGGTGTCGAAACCGCGAAGCTTTGTATTGTGATGAGTCCTGAATCATTTCGTTAAGATTTGAAAACCGACGCTGCATCACAACAACGAGGTGAAAAAACGGATGAACCACTCCCAAAAGACTGAGTCTCAGCGAGATCTTAAAGAAATTAGCGACAATCGCGTCTTGATGGAGGATCGATTCTAGTAAGGTTGTTAAGACAGTGGAAGTAACCAAGAAATAATCTAAAATGTCGTTTGTTTTTATCACAGATTTTGTCCCTAGCTGAATAAACCTGAATTCACAGTCTGAGAGCAATCTCAAGAATTCATTAAGTTTGTCCTTTTTAAACAAAACAATAATGGAATGGAAAACTACTGCACAATAAGACAAAACAGAACTTGCGTACAGAGAAGGTTCTTCCACCAATAAGAGGTGTATACCCAACGCCAGCTTCATCGTCAAAACGTACACCAGCAAAGCAGGGTCTAACACAAGGCCATTATATTTTAGACGGAAAGGGAAAACAGCAAAGGCTTGAGCGATCCGAATGACGCGGTGGACAAGAGCCCCGCACTGTGACGAGAGATAGACCATATTTTAGAGCAAAAAGCTGAACCAAACTTCACTGAAGAAACACTGGAAGGGAATTACATTTATTGGAAATAATATTCGCTTCATTGTCAGTTGTAACGATGTCCTTTACTATAGTAATTAACGTGTCTTTCTCGGTCTATCAAGGGTTGATATAATTGCATAGGAATTAAAAAACCGATATAATCACAGAGAGTAAAATTACATATCAAAAGTAATTGACAGGAAGAAAATCATTGCAAAGTGTACATTAAAATGATCAACTTATTTAAAGCTATAATTGGTCAAAAAAAATTTCTTACCGTGATCAGGGCGATATAAAAAGATTCCAAGACAAAACATTTATAATGTTATAAACTAATTTTTTTTTTATTTTTTTTTTTTTTATTTTTTTTTTTTATTATTTTTTTTTTTTTATTGATAAATATTACAATCTGTCTCAATAAAGGACATTTATAATAGATTTTTGAGAGAACATTCACACCATATTTACAAATTAAAAAAAATAAATAAATAAAAAAAATAAGCTAACTTCAAATAATATAAAGCTACAAAAGAACAAAAAAAAAAAGAAAAAAAAAAAAAAAGTAATGAAAATAAACATCTTAGATGCAGGCATACCTATTACACTATTTACAGTCGGCCATAGGAACTCCGAACCATACTTATCCTCCCACACGTGGAGGGAAAGCAAGGCTTCAGGAGATCACTGCGCTTCTTCCTCAACCATTTCACTGGCAATGAAAGCCAGCGGAGATTGAGTAAGGGCGCTACAACCACGGACACTCATGACTTGAGTGGAGAATCTGGCCATTGCCAGAACTCCAGTATATACATGTTACAAAAGGTCACGGGGCCACTGCCGCTTCATCCTGCAAGGAGGATTGTAGAGATGAGTGTTGCTAGATAGGGATTGTGCTACGGGATTAGGGTGATGGGTAAGGTTCTGATGAAATTTGGAGAATTTGTATGGGATAAGATCAAGAATAAATGGAATATTAAGGTCATTGTGCAGGGTTTTATTAGAGACATAAAAGAGAGCATCGACTATTGTACGGAGGACTTTGGACTGGAAGGTTTGAATGCGTTTGATGTTAGAAAATTTGGTTGTCCCCCACAGTTCTAGTCCGTAGGTCCACATGGGTTTTAATATTGTCTTGTAAATCAGTAGTTTGTTTTCAATAGAAAGTTTAGATTTTCTATTAAGTAGTCTATATAGCTGGCCATATTGGGATCTGAAGGTGGATGAACTAATTTATTCTCTAAAATAAATAATTGAGTAAATACTTAACCAGTCAATGATTCACCAATCATCAGGCTATAAAAATTTATGTTTACGAGTATTTATTAAAACAGATCGACGTGGATTCAAGTAAATTTTTAACATTCTCCTGTAGTTACGAAAGTTTCATCTCTTTTTAGGTTTTTTTTTTCTCCTCTCCGACGAAGGTCTCCTCTGTTATTATGAGGAAACTTAAAAAACTTTTCTCTTCAAAATAGAAAATTTCCATTTGCGTATTACGTTTTTATAAGCTATGCTACAAGATGGCATAAACGTTTGCACGAATGTTCATAGCAACCTTCGTCGAATAGTTGGAAAATTTGAAATGAATGGTTCGCGTAATGTGAGGAGAATGTTGCATTTTTAATGGTATTATTATTAATATTTATTCTATTATAATATAATACTTCTATTGTAAAATAATAAATATTACAAACCTAGAATATATAGATTAATAAGTTTGAAAGAAAAGTTAAAACCAATAATAAATTATTGGGTTGTCCGGAAATTTTGTCTTTAAATTACCCCTCTATATAACAAACTGTTTACGTTTACTGGATTATTCATCTATATGAATGTCAACACTTATTAATCCTCACTATAGGAAATTTATTAAAAGGAACGAATGTTGCATTTTTAATGTTCTGATTATTATTAATATTTATTATATTATATATATGTATGTATTTACATACAGAGTGTCCTGAAAGTAGAACAAAATATTTAAAAGGTAGATAGTAGACATAAGATCTACAAAAAAGTTTATATTAATAATTGCCCAATTTCCAGCAGATAAGTAGGAGATTAAATATTTGTGTTCTTTTATGCGAGTCTCGTTTTTTGTTAAAAGGAAGCGATAACTAAAAATATATTTGATTTAAGTAATTAAACATTGCTCCATAGTAAACTAGAAAAAATTTACTCCAAAATTAAGTAGATTTTGTAATTGTTAAAACAATTTAAATATGACTGTTGAGCGGACAAACTCAGATAAGTTTCGTTTAAAAAAAGTTCATAAATTATCTCTGATTTTTTTTTTTTTTATTGGCCATCAACTGTACTACAGTTACACAACTTTTAGGTTTAATTTAATTAGCTTTAAGTTCATATTAATTAAGTTGAAGTTTATTCAGAAACATTTTGAGATTCACCTCAAGTTGTGTAAAGAAATGATGTGATTTTCTATCCAGCCATCTAAAAGTACTCGTGTTATTAACAAAAATTACTACAATTAACAGTTGCTTTTATTTCTTGTTTTTCCGTGATATAGGATGGATTGTAATAAACATAATAAAGTTTTATATTAAAGCATAAAAACTAATTATATAATGATATATGATAATGAACAGCTGGAACCTATTTTTATAGAAAAGTTTTAAAATAGTTTCACATAACTGAATTACTGATTTTCGGGTAACCAGCATAAAGAAGGGACATTTTGTTTTACAGTTAGCTGGAAAATAGCCGTATCTGTAATCAAAACCTTCACCGGAATCGATTTGATAAAGATAAACCGAGTTTGCGTTTACTGAGCGCGGCTCGGCAAAAATGAAGGAGGGAGGGGCTACACAACAGTGTGTAGCTGCGGAAGTTAAGGAAACCTTAGAAAGAGATAGAAACACCACTGAAGAAAGTAATGAAAGAATAATGACCCACGAACTGGAAAAACAAACAAGCCACCCAACTTATGCACAAATCATGTCAAATCACAAACCGTCAAGCCGTGAGTATGCCATTGTGTTACAAACAATTAAGGGAATTAAACAGAAAGAATATGTTAAAAAAATTGCAGACTTAGTAGAACCAAATGCAATTAAATTTGCATCACGTATCTCTAATAATAGGTTTTGCATTCACTTATCGAACAAGGAGCAGGTAGATAAATTACTATCCAAACATAGAGAAGTTGTGATAGACGAACATATAATTCCAGTTCGTAGATTAGTAAATTCAGCAAAACGTATTATAATATCAAATGTATGCCCCAGCATTCCAAATTACGTAATAGAAAACGAACTCAATAGAATGGGAATCAAACTACTTTCACCAATGTCATTTTTAAGGGCAGGATACCAGGACCCCAAAACAAGTAACATCATGAGTTTTAGGCGACAAATCTTTAATAATCCTGAAGATATCTGTCATCTAAAAACATCAATTGTAGTCCAAAATGAAGATCTTTCTCACAGAATCTTCTTAGCGGAAGATCTCTTAATTTGTTATATCTGTAGAAAACCGGGACACTTCGCTGCAAATTGCCCTGACTCGGACGATACAGATGATGAACCAAGTTTACAAACCCGTCCACTAATGACTCCTAACAATCAAACCAAACTTCCAACTGAAACTGAATTATGAAAACCAACACGGTTAATCAAAATAGTGAGTTACCTACTAACAGAATTACAGAAAAAGAAACTCCCACAACGTTAATTGAAAAAAAATAACAACAATAGTAACAATATTAAGCCAATAGAAAGTATAAACGGCTCATCGTCGACAAAAGAAAAAAACACTGTACAAAATATTAGTGCAGGCAAAAAGACCATTCTTAAAACACCAGAGAAAAAAGTGACCGATTTAAATAAAAAGGAAAAAATAATTGAAGAAAAAAACAATTTACAACAAAAAACAAAACCGACCACAAAAGAGATACTAGAACCAATCCGTGACTTATTAATGAAAAACAATTACCCTCTTCAATTTAAAGAAATTTGCTTATTATACGAAACAATTCAAATAGAAAAATTATCATCAAACACACCTGATTTGATAAAACAATTCACAAAGGACAAACAAGGGTTAATTAGGATGCTAACAGACATTAAAGGATTAGTAGATCATAGAGGCATAAAAATATGGTCAACAAAAATTTTGAAACTACTGAACGGAAATGACCTCACCGAGATCACACCAGGTGAGAAATTTTCGAAGATATTAACAGGTAACAGAGTCTTTAAAAAAGAAAAACTGAAACATGGTAAAAACGATTCAATGGAATTGCAACGGTTACTACCGACACATTGAATACTTTAGAAAACTAATGACTGAAGAAAATCCGATTTGTTGTTGCTTACAAGAAACACACCTTAACGATAAGCAAATAGTAAAATTACGAAAATACAAAATATTCAGAAAAGATAGACTGTCTGAAAGAACGTGGGGAGGAGTAGCCATGTTTATCTTAGAGAACATCTATTGCGAAGAACTACCACTACAAACTCAATTTGAAGCACAAGCTGTCAAGATATACTTAAACGAACCTTTGACAATCTGCAATATATACTTACCATCTTCACAGGAATTCACAAATACAGACATAGAGGGAATTGTAAACCAACTTCCAAGACCTTTTCTAATGCTAGGAGACTTCAATGCCCACAGCACCTTATGGGGTTCGAAGCTTCCAGATTATAATCACAGAGGTAGAAATATCATAAAATTCCTCGAAGATAACACTTCAACAGTACTTCTAAACTCAGGGGATAACACTCACTTTAGCTCAAAAAATAATATTTTCTCAGCAATAGATTTAAGTTTCTCTGATGCAAGATACTCGCCTAAAGTAAAAAATTGGAGTACTAAAAGCCATTTGTACGGAAGCGATCACTTCCCAATTGTAATTGAAACATGGGGAAACAGTATTAATATGCCATCGAACACCAGATGGAAATATGAAAAAGCAGATTGGGAAGGTTATAAAAAATCAATTATCCAAGGTTTACGAACCATACCATATGGACAGAATTTAGAAGAAAAAATATTTTATTTTAACGAGTTAATTATTAACACATCAAAAGAAACTATTCCTACTGTCAAAAATAATATGAAACATCATGATGTACCGTGGTGGAATCACAATTGCAATGAAGCTATAAAAGCAAAGAAACGAGCCCTAAATCGAAACAGGAGAAGTAGAATTGTTGAAAATGCAATCGAGTTCAAGAGACTGCGATCTATTGCAAACAGAATAATAAAAGAAAGCAAGAGAGCATCGTGGAAACAATATGTTTCTTCCATAAACTACCAAACCCCGACGAATAAGATATGGCCCG